AGAGAGAGAGAGAGAGAGAGAGAGAGAGAGAGAGAATTTTTAATATTTATTTTTCAGTTCTTGGCGGACACAACAACTTTGTTGGTATGTGGTGCTGAGGATCGAACCCGGGTCACACGCATACCAGGCGAGCGCGCTACAGCTTGAGCCACATCCCCAGCCCCCATTGTTAATTTTTGATACCATGTAGAGACAATGAAAAACCAGCCTCTACCTCAGAGCAAAGCCTGTCCAAGGAAGGGACATCACCTTTGTCCTTGGAAAGACCCACAGAGCACTCCTAGGCACATTCCCACCCTGCTAAGTTGTTTATCTACAAATAACAGGAGAGATCTGCTGCACCAGGTGTCCCTGACTCATTCAGGCTAGGTGGGGATCCATAGCAACCCCCTAGCAGCCACCAATCAGCATGAGACAGGGAAATACCTGGGATGCCAGATGACCCTCCCAGTAGTTTATGGTGGTTGATAACATGTTGGGAAACCATGTGGTTCAGCACATACACCCCTCTAGGCTTAAACCAATCAATTCAAATGAATACCCCTTTTGTACTGACCAATCACCCCTACCCAACTTGTTCCTGTCAGTGAATGTGCTAATCATGTTTTAGAGTTGTTATTTGATTTTCCCGCAGTGTGTGATGATTTGCTATGATGTATGTGAAGTCCTTGCCCTCTCCAAAGAATGTATAAAACTGCTGCAAACTCTGGGCTCAGGGCCTCTCCGCATCACCAGTTGCTGTGTGTGCATGCGGAGGACCGAGCTAGCTCGCAATAAACACCTCTTTGCTGCTTACATCGATCTTGGGTCTCTGGTGGTCTTTTGGGGGTCCCGAATTCAAGCATAACAACAATAGCTTCAAACCTCAGGTTGCTACCCTCAATAGAAACTTATTTTCCAAGGGCCTAATGCCTTTATTATAAAAGAACAAACCACTATGAAGTTTCTATGCTTTAAGTCTGTTGCAGATTAAAAAAAAAAAAAGACTACATAGCATGACAATTAGCATTTTGGCATCATGTTTTAGGTTCTCCCTGGCTTTCTAAAAATCTTTATATATTTCTTTTATATATATATGTTGTAGATTGACACAATAGCTTTATTTTATTTTTATGTGGTACTGAGATTGAACTCAGGGCCTCACTGTGCTAGGCAAGTGCTCTACTGCTAAGCCACAACCTCAGCCTTCTAAAAATCTTAATTGAGGTTTAGTTGGTTCAATTCTAAATCAATAAAGAATTTATACTTGTGGAAAATATGCATAAATAATTACATGGATAAAACTGTCCATAGCTATTCAGTACTGACATTCCAACAAAAACAGCAGCTACTTGCTTCATGATAATAACAATAGCTAAATCAGATAAAGGATATCATATGGGAAATAAGAAAAGGGAAAATTAAGAGTGTTTTAACTTGCAAATCTGGTAAATAAAAGGCCTCTGACAGGTTGGGGTTTAGTTGGTAGAATGTTTTCAAGCATGTGCAAATTCCTGGGTTCAATACCCAGTTACCCACCTCCCAACCCTCCCATAAAATAATAATAAGCCTTAGGAAAAAGGCATAGAAGATCAATGCATTTATATATTTTACTTTAGAACACTAAAATTTGCACGGAGAAATGCAAAGCACAACATTCCATTGCCTAAGAAGTATGATCATACCTCAAAACATGTTAAAGAGCTTTTGTTTCTTTTGGAAACAGGAAAGCTGTTTCCTAATACATAACCATTAGTGATTTAGAAGAGAATAAGTCATCTGTAACAGTGGTTGAAGTTCAAGGTTCAATGCTCTGAGAGTGAAAGTCCCAAGGACTTTCAATATTTTAAAAATTGATTCATATAAAATCAAATGTCTTTTGTTTCACTAGATTTGGTCCATGTTTCTCCCATTGTTTGGTTTTGTTTTAACTTTTCCTATCTGGCTTCAGAGATATATGATCCTCACATTTCAGATCAGAGCTGTTGTTATCTCCTCTAGCAGTAGGAATCATTTTACTCTGCTGAATCCCAATGCTGTAAATATGTAATGGTTGCATTCATGCTGGTTAATATCAATTTTAATGAGCAAGAATAAACAAAAGAACTAAAACCAAGTCTTCTAAGGTCCTTTACTAACATTCTGATCTGTATACTCAACTAGAACTGCGAACATTTCTGACACAGTTCTATAGACTCACTCTAGAGACAGTGTAAAGGATGTTGCCAGGCAACGCATCTAAGTCTGAAAGAATCTAAGCACTGATAATGAGTCTGTCTCAGTTTGGCTCCCACACAGGAAGGGTTTTAGTGAAGACCCACATGTGTTTACAGGTCATACACAAGAGGTATTTCTAAAAGTGAGTGTCCAAAGGGAGTACAATTCAGGAATCTATTTCTTTCCTAATTCAAGTTTAATGTTTCCAATATTACAAGTATTTTCTATAACTATCTAGAATTCTAACAAAAATTAGGCATAGTAGGTCATATGCAAAAGGTCCAGTGTTGAATAGACATTCATATTCACATCTTCAACATTTCCATTTGCACATGACCATGACAAAATCTCTTGTATTATTTCAAATCACAAAAATAACTCAGAAATTATTTTCTTTTGAAAATTATCTTTGAAATTGCTTTTAATATTTACTATCATTATATCAAAAGTCAAAACAGGATTTTCAATAAAAACTATATTCTTTAAGGAGAATATATAACCAGTTGAGAAAGAGTTAACATGATTTTATGAGTAGTATACATGCAAAACACTGCTCTGCAGATGGGCCTGATCCAATCCTCCCTCTTTCAAAGCAGACACTTTGCATGCATGCTTACCAGGGCAGTATGTGTCCACGTCCAGTTTCTGAGCTGAAGTGAGGGTTGGGGAGCCAAGCTCGGATTCTGGAATTCGTGGGCTCTCAACAAACTTTGCCTTCCTCAGAGGGGCTAAGGACAAAGAGAGAGAGAGCCAGAGAGAGAGGGAGGAGAGAGGAAAATGGGAAGGGAAAGAAAAAAAGTAAAGAGAGACAGGGAAGGAGAAGGGTAAGGGAAAGAGAGAAACATAGAGGGGTCATGAGTAAGGGGAACAGCAGGCAACAGATGGAAGCACTTAAATGAACGACACACTCTGTCAGACTCAGATCAGGTTACTCTATTTTTTGTGCCAGAAAAAAATTAACTGCATTCTTCATAGAGGAGATGGGTCTTGCTAAAAAGTCTCTGGAAAAGAGAAAAGCTAAAAGCTAATATTCAAAACTATGAGTATAAATTGTGATCATCTACTACTTCTGGCTCTTTTCTCTTTATAAAGCAAAGAACTCTTATTTTGGCTATCAGTGCCATTAAATACAAGTATTAACTGACAAAATGACAGGACTAAATTTAAAGGTTTTGTTCATGATAACTGTAACCAAAAGGTCATTTTTATCCAGAAATAGCTACTTTAATATTCAGTAATGATAAATACAAAAGTAGGATTAAATATAAGTCATCACTCCTAATCTATGTAGTCTAAAGCAATCACTGTAGTGTTCTGTCACTAACGTAGGAAGTTGAAACTCCTAGCAGGCTAAAATATTAACTAGGCCATGCCAATTTGACACTGATGCTAAAGAAATGTAAATTTACAAATTTAATCATGAAGTCTATGGAACAGTAATATTCTATGCCATGGAATTCATTCATAAAGAATGAAGTATAATTTGTGATTGAAAGTTTTACTTACAGAAAGCACATATCAATTTTATTTACTGATTTTTAGGGGGAAATTAGGAAATACTATTAACGTTTATTCAAATAATAAGTTTGTTGTTGTTGTTTTGGTACTAGATACTGAACCCAGGGGCACTTTACCACTGTGCTACACCCCCAGCATCACCCCTAACCTTTTAGATTTTGAGACAGTCTCACTAAGTTGCTTATGGCTTTACTAAATTGCTGAGGCTGGCCTTGAACTTGCAATTGCCCAAGGTAGTGGGATTATAGGTGTGTGTCACTGTGCTAGGCTCAGGTAAGTATTTTAAAAGTTAAAATTATGAAGATCGCTATGGTACTTTCAAATTGAGTTCTATTAAATAAACTTTAATAAGGTTAAATTATTTAGCATAGCACTAGTACAAAAAGTTCAAATGAATATGAAATTGCTTTGTATAACTGTGTTTAAGACATGTAAATGTTTAAGATCACACTGCCATTTTTTTAAAGTTTCTGCATGTTCTTTAAAATCCTCATTCTTAATTGACCCACAGAGGATTCTGTTATTCCTAAAGATGCTCTAAAAAGAATTATAAAACATTGTCATTTCAATGGCAAGAGTTCTCCTTTGTTTTCTTTGGAGGATAAAAATGATAAAGTATTAATAAGATATAGAAAATAATTTTTAAATCGCCAATACTCAAAACCTACAGACAATAAAATCATAATTTAAACCATAAGGTGTGTATATATATTTCAAGTATATATTAAAAATACAACTTAAAGCCTGTCATTGTCTCCATGGCAACAGAGTCCTAACTCAAAGGATGCTATTGATAGGACTCTTAACCAAAAGTGAGCTTTAAGACAGCAGAACTTTCAATTCTAAGAGTGTAATAATATTTGAGCATGTCTTTTAAAATCATTATCACAAATGAAGGTCTCAAGGGATATATATGCAAGCTACTATCAGCCAAAATCCAAATCTCTTCAATATATTCTCACCAACTAACTAGAAAATAATGAAACATTTTATTTATTCAAAATTGCATTTAGGAGGAATGATTATAATTTTATTCTTAACACTTTTAAGTTCTTTACTAGAATTTTACTAAGGTATTGTCATGGCATCAGAATAACTATTATACCTGCTGAGTTCTGACAAAGACAGCATTGGTCCCTGATCAAGGGACTCTATATATTTAAAAATTCTAGATAGTAAACTTTTGGGGTAATAGAAACCAGCATTTTAGGGTAGAAATATAAGAAAGAAATTGAGAATGGTAGAGAAACTGGAGGGAGGTAGGAAGAGTATACAAAATTTATGAGATGAAGTCAAAGAGAAAACTCAGGGTCCTAAAAATTGTACAGAAAAAGAAAAGTAAATAGCTGAAGACTATGAAGAGTGTACAGACTACATGGTATTAATCTGAAATTGAAAAGATTTGGGAAATACAAAATTTCTTACTAAAATATATAATTTTCTAACAAAGACAGTTATTTTTGATCTGTGAAGACTAATGCTATACTGACTCTTAGGAATTCCAATTAAGGTTATCTTTAAAGCTCACAAATGATATTTAATTCTTACTTCTGTCTACCTTTACCACTTCATCCATGGGGTATTGTGTATGTCTAATAATGAAGTTCAATTATTTTATAAAACAGATGATAATGGTGCTATTATAGATAACAAGTGTTATTTGTAAGTCAAACACAGGAGGTATAATCACAGATAATGAGAGGTTTTTCAGTAGTCATAATACTGCCTGGTAGAGAAAATAATAGGAAAACTTAGAAGATGTAGACAGTAGTTTTCTTGAAAGCGTATTTTAATAAACTTCATTGTAAAAATGGTACATAAGATAATTCAGATAGGTAAAAAAATGCTACATCAAAAGGGTTTTACTGATAATTGAAATACAGGTGATTGGTTGAATAAGATGAGTAAAAATATTAAAACCAAAACCAGGTATTTTACTGTGATGTAAGAACTCATAGGAAACTACTGCTCTGAGAGTGATCTGAAGCAACACTGGGAACATGATTTTTTATACCATAAGAGATTTGAGTTTGAGAATCTGGTAGAAGTTGAGGAAGGATGCATAAAGACTTGGCGGACAGGTATAATGGTTTGAAAGACATGGAGCAGTTATGAGTATGGCTACGGAAAATAAAGCAAGCAAGTGGTTGTAAGGCACAGTATGTAGAAGTAGTATAACATGGTAACACAATAGTAAAGAGTTGGATGGTACAAGAATTAAGGGTCTAGGCTTTGAAACTACAAAGCCTAAGTTAGATTCCTACCTGTTCTACTTTTCTTAGCTGTTAAGAATCCTTCTGTTTCCTCATTAGTTATTTTGGGTTTATAACAGTACCTATATCATGGATCAGTTGTAAAGATTACATTATTCAAAGAAAATCCTCAGTATGCTGCCCAGCACAGAATATTACTGAATTTTTTAAAAATGCAAAACAGGTTTATTACTGACAGACAAAAAGGGACAACAGAAGACTAAGATCCATTGTTAGCTGTTCCCCCAGGGCTCAGAAAATCTGCTCAGGATTATGATAAGTGAAGCTAGCCAATCCCTAAAAGACAAATGCCAAATGTCTTCTTTGATATAAGGAGGGCAACTAAGAACAGAGCAGGAAGGAAGAGCATGAGAAGATTACCATTAAACAGGGACAAGAGGTGGGAGGGAAAAGGGAGAGAGAAGGGAAATTGCTTGACCCTCATTGTTATACAAAATTACATATAAGAGGAAGTGAGGGGAAAGGAAAAAAAACAAGAGAGAAATGAATTACAGTAGATGGGGTAGAGAGAGAAGATGGGAGGGGAGGGGAGGGGGGATAGTAGAGGATAGAAAGGGAGCAGAATACAACAGTTACTAATAGGGCATTATGTAAAAATGTGGATATGTAACAGATGTGATTCTGCAATCTGTATTTGGGGTAAAAATGGGAGTTCATAACC